TGAAGTGATGCATTTTCCAATGAAATTTAGATACCACAGTACACAGGAAATTTATTAAAATAGTAAGTTACAACTCTTAATAGGATGCTCATTATTGCTCATCATATGAAAGTTCATTATGTTCCTGTTTTATTTTAATTATCTTGAAAGAAAATCTTTAAACCCTCTATTTTTTAGGGCTTAAATGAAATGTGTTAGATATACTCATGAAACATTTAGGTGCTTACTGTGTTTTATTTTTCCTATTTTTTGAAATGATGATGGGAAGTACAATTTTGATTTTCATGTGAAATAAAATGAAGTGGCATGGTGTTAGGATATTATATTCGAATAATATAAGTCCTGTTTTTTATTTTATTTTAAATGTGTTGTTTTGAGATTGCATGAAATATGCTTACATTTAATTTAGAGATGGAAGGAAAAAAGACAAAACCAAGTTTGCTTTTATTGTAAAAGTCAAGTTAACAGCTTATTAGGATTTCAAATGCAAGCCTCAGTTTTATATGTTAATATTCTTGTTTAAAAAAATGCTGAAAATAGTTGAATTTTTCTTGTTTAATTGTAAGAATGTGAATACTCTGATTCTCATTATTTAACCTAAACAAAAATTCAAACGCCATGTTAATAGTCTTAATCTTAAGTGTTGTTTCAATGTGAACACGACAATAATCTTGCTGGGTTGGAGGGGTGCAGTTAGTCTTGTCTCAAAATTGTTTGAGGTGAGATAGAAAATCTCAGGTTGCGTAGCAGCCTTCCCAAATTATGTCAGTCTTTCTCAACCCCCTGTGTTATTGTAATCAATTTTAATGAAATTTGAAGTGAATAAATAAATGAACGAAACAGTAAATAGAGAGAGATGCTGAACTAGGTACCTTGCGATTGAAATGTGGTCTTTACAGCCTTGGGATTCATCATTTCCCTCTCCACTGGAGAAGAGATTTTTTATCTTGCATTCGTACTCTTAACAATATGAACTTTTTGCTAAGAATTCTCTGTTTCATTGTGTCCTTGCATTTTAGAAAGGTTTTTACGAACTTGTGTTTGTGTATTTTAAAGTGAATGTTTCTTCCAAAATTTGTATTATTTAATTTCATGGTTGGGAAACTCTGACAACATTGACAAATAATAATGTATCTAACTTTGTCAATGATATTTCTGAATTCAGATATTACAGTTATAATTTTTGCTGGTACATAGTTGTTTGTACTTATTTAAGCAAGCTTCATTTAAAGTAAATACCTGTGATAGGTAAATTACTACTGAAAATATACTCTGTAATCTGACTAGTAAATAATGCTTGGTGCATTATTTTATGCACTAATCGTGACAACAATAAATGTGAGATAGCTAAAAAGGTATCTTTGTATATGTGAATGTCCACTAGGATATGTTACTATTATTGAAGCATAAAATGCTAATCAATCCATTTCCACGTTTATATAGATTGTGTTACATAGCTTTATATATAATTGTGCAAGAGTCGTCTTCTCTGTTTTCCAGTAATATGGTGCAAGGGCTAATTTCTCATGATGGTTCTATTAATGCCATTGCTGCCAAAGCATAATGGGACAATTGTATATATAAGTGTGTTATTTTAATCTTGTGCTTCCTTCTGTAACTGCACATCTGTGATGTACATCTCTGGTGTCTTGGTAAAACAAAACTTTTTAATAAAAAATTTGCACTGTGAGTTGGCTTAGTTCTTAAAATTTTAGAAGAGAAAAAAATAATTAAATTGTGAAAAGTTTGTGTGTACAAAACAGTGCATATACACCAGTAACACCTTTGATTTCAAACACAGTTAGGCACCAAATTCTGAAGACAGTTCTTGCCATATTGTATTCACAAATGTAAAACATTTTGAAAAGTGATGTAGAAACAAAAACGCATAAAAAAGATAAGTTATTAATTTGTTTTTGTTATTTATATCCCATGAAATTTTCATCAAAATACTTTGAGAAAGAAGTATTACCAAGGCAGAAAATTTTGTGATCGCCATTTTAGTGCAAAAATTCATTAATGTGCAGGGTGTTTAAATTTCAGAAAAACTTCCCTTCATTGAAATTAAGTTAATTAAAATTGTCTCATGTATGGTTCAATTGAAAAATATACATTATTTTACAAACACTTTGTGTTTTTTAGTGTTGGTTATTTGTAAAATAAATTGACATTAATAAGGAAATATAACACCATACAAATATTACAGATCTGTAAATTAATCCCAAATAAAATGAAAGCTATTGAACATCATACCTGCTCCATTACTGAGTATATTCTTAGCCTGTTTTACCTTTTTGACCTTTTTTACCATTTCATTTTTACTTTATCATATATACAGAGTAATATACATAGTACAGAGAAAGTTATGTAATGCTGGGGAAAATTGATTTTGAAATTTCAATGGAAATTCATGTTTAGGGGTCCCTTGATACCAAAGAAGGGTTTTTTTCAAAGTGTCCTTCTGTTGTCTGTGAACATTAGCACCTAAACTATTCTTAGGATTGTTTGAATCCTTGTTGATCAGGCCTGACTTGAATTTTGAAAAACAACAATTTTTTAGGGTACTTAACATTAAACTCGCCAAACATATTCAAAATTTTCTCAAAATAGCTCCAAAAGTTTTCTTTAAATTTCTTGTAAGAATAGAGTGAAATACACTAATAAAGGTGGTGTAGATCTGATTTCCACTATTAACTCCAAATTTTCCATAATTGCAAGAGTTTTTTTTTTTTGACGTCTACCTACAACTACAAAATTGAAGATAGCAATTTTTCCTTCCAATGAAATTGGTTCTCCTTAATTAGTTCTTTCATTTAGTTAGTGTATATCGTTTTGAAATTGTAGTTTTCTTGCAATAAATATTAAAACGTTTACAAATTATTTTTCTTAATTCTCAAAAATTACTGCAATTTTTTTCTTTAAACTTTTGGTGGGGAAGGTGATTAGTGTACTGTATAAGATGATGTAAATACCATTTTCCCTATTCTTTGTCTTCCAAAAATTACAAAAATGTAAATTTTTTAACATCTCTCTCACATTAATGTTTTTATTACTTGTGATTTGTATATATTATTCAATTTGTTCAAACAAGTGCTTCAATTAATGTCTTTATAAAGTTTCTTAAAAACTCAAAAGTTTTCTGAGAAAATAAGCTAAAATTTCCCCATTTTTGGAAACTCGATCACCATTGTTTCAAAAGCGGCTTCCAATTTTTTTCTTCAAACTTTTTGTAAGGTAGTGCTAAATACACTGTTTAAGGTGACACAAAAGTCATTTTGCTGTTGTTTCTTTTTTCCAAAAAGTAAGCGAAAGTAATGTTTTGAAATCCCTTTCTTACCGTTAATATCCACATTTCCAATTATTATATTATATTTGTAAGTGGAAGTGCTACAAATGATTTCCAATGAAGTCTCTCTAAATCTTAAAGATTTCTATGTAAAAAGAGCTTCAAATTTTGCGTTTAGGGTAACTTAAAAGACATTTTCATATAAATGGTAACAAGTTTTTCAAAAAAATGTTCAAATGGATGAGGTTTTACTCTTTACTCAAACAAGAAAATTGAGGAAATTTCAAAAAAATATACTTAAGAGCGGTGATTGATGGCTGCTAGCAAGAGGTTGGGCAAGACCAAAAAGGTAGCCCAGACCAAAGAGATTAGAAAACTAGTACGAGAAAGTCTGTGCCATTCTTTAGCACCTCTAGATAACTAATGTGTTGTGATTACACTAACTTGTTCTTTTATTGTAATTTTGAGTTTTATTTTTTAAACAACTTTATTAGTATTGTCATTTATATCCATGTTTTTATTTCTCTTCAACAATGATCCTGCTAAGGCTATTGCTAGGTGATCCAAAATCAGTCTCACATTCCCTCACCTTTTTTAAGCTTTCATGCTTGAATATTACCAGCATTAAATTCAGATAGCTGCCTATTTGTTGGCTGTTGTGTAATGAAAATTTAGACACCATCTAGGAATTAAACTAAAAAGGAAAAAAACTCCCCCTACATCTAGATTTTGTAACTTTTGTTAAATAATAAACATATTTGTTATAATATTGTACAATATTTATGTACTGAATTTACGATACTATACAATATTGTTTAAATAATTACATAATTCGAACATAAATTAATATTTAAACCAAGTTGGCCAAGTAAAAGAAGGTAACTCGGGGGCTTTTTTTGGCCCCCACCTGAATCTGCCAGTGCCCCTCATACACTCTTATTTAAAATGCACTATCCTCCCACCGGGAGCTTAGAGCTTGTCCCACTGGTGGGAAATGCCTGTTTGGCAAAACCCCGCTAGCCGAAGGTAGGCTTGCGCCGATTTCGCCATCTAGCATGGGATAATCACTGCCACTCCCGAGGAAAAAATGCACTACATTTACGCGACTATTGTTCTTAGCAGTTGACGTGTCCAGAATAACTAACAATCAAGCTGCTTCTCTCCTGATTATGACGACGTCCTCAGAAAATAGATGAAATTATTCCTAGAAAGTACAATAGAAATCTTGCTCAGCTCTTTTCGTTAATACATTTGACCAATTAAGAACACATTTTTTTTTAAAAAAAAAAGAACATTGGTTTCAATCTTTGCAAGTCATTCAAGTTCATCAAAATATAACACAAACCGTGGGAATGCTGTTCAGAGAAGTATTTTTTCAAGTAATTAGTAGTAATCATAAAACAAAGAGCTAAGTGCCAATATTTTTATGGAATTGTGCTACTTAAACTCCTGTACGTTTAGATTCATTTCTTTAAAGAACGTCCGTATTAGCGTGGTCGACTAAACCGGCAGTAGCGTTCTAGCGCGTAACCAATATTTCGGAGGTATAAAAACTACGTAAGCTATGTAAACTACGTAACAATATGATAAATATTAAATAAACATAACTTCAAATTAACTTCTTCCCGTAGCATGCCACACACAGTTTGACTTGTTTTTGTAAATAGACAAATGTTAAATATTACATTTCGAACGCAAAAACCCAATGTATTCCATTGCGTTCGCCAGCTGGATCTCTCTACTGTGGCAATCGGAAGAGAATGTCTTCGTTACTATGGAAACGTCGTTGTTGATTGTTGTGTGTTTTGGATATGGATGGACGTATGCAATAATGTGGTGGGGATATAGCCCTGCATTAGACGTTTTAGAAGAATATGAATCAGGTATATATCGTAAATTGCATTTGTAACTGAGTAAATTGCATGTGGTAATGTGAATGAATTCTGGATACCATTCGACTATACACATTTAATACTATAATTATATGCGTAGGCCTACTACATAGGAGTACGTTTAATATGTTTACATTTTGCGAGGAAGCAAGTAGTATTGTTTGTCTTACTTTCTCGAATATTACGCAAGTAGAATATAGAAAGTATTGTAAAGCAGCAGCAGAAAACATGCTGCGGCGAAAAAGTGGAAAATTTTTTGTTCTTTATATAGTAAATGGTTGTTTGTAAAACTATGTTGTAGTGATAATACACGGTGCTACCGAAAATCAATACACGTACATTATTTTAGTACACTTTGCTAGCTGACATTAAAATCGATACAAACATTTCAATGGCAAATAAAATATTTTCTGCTGCATAACTGTTTTATACAACACTCATATCCAAATTAGGCACAATATGGAGCACCGAAAAGGAAATTAATATTAATTTTTATATATTTCATGTATTATTTACCATTTGGAATGTGTAATTCTAAACAACCTGTAACAAGTGCTGTATCTCAGCTTCAGAGTCAATGAGCTACATTTGGATCAGTTTTTTTATACAGTTTCCCTAATCCCTTGAGCAAATGCTGAGATGGGCCCTTGTTTTGCTCTTGGACATAAATGTAACTTCATTATCTGTGCACGTCTTTTAGAGTTCAGTGGGAAATGTAGATATTCAAATTATCGTTCTCTCCAATTGTCTCTGCATAAGTATATTCCTTCACGAAGGGCATGATGAGGGATAAGAACCCAGATCTACAGCTAATTTGCCTTTCAAAATAATTTTATTATTTCGGGACGAAAGTTTTGTCGATTCTTGCTATAAATGCTATTTTTCTGTATTCAGAATTTAACTTGTATGGCTTAGGGTAGGGATCGCAGAATTAATAGAAAAAAAATCCAAGAATACACTTCTCCCCGTAGCACGTCGCATATTGCTTTTAACTGTTTTTGACGTAAAATAAATAAGAAAGGTAATTTTAATGTAAATAAAAAAGGTTGTTTTACGGCAAAACGTCCGTCTACCTTACTGTGCGTGAACAACTCCGGGGGCTTAAATTGTACGCAGGATATTCACCAAAAGAGATGTTACGCGTTCGATCTGGCTGATATTCCGGTCCTTGAATTTGAAACTGATTTTGATTCTGAGGGTACTTTAAATGAAGTTTCAAGGAGATTTTAAAAAATTCTCAAAATTGCTCCACTTTTTTCTCCTATAGTACGAAGAACTTTCTCTTATAAAAAGGTAGCAGGTTCAATTTTCGTAAAACTCTTCAAACTTCCCAAAATAGCAAAAGTTCAAAAAAAATTTCGGCACCTCCCTGTAACTTCAATATTGAAGATAGAGATTTTTTCCGTAATGAAATCTATTTTCAAAGTCAGAACTTTAAATAAGATCATGTTCAATTTTCGGGAGGTAGGTCGGTCAAGGCATCAATGATATCACTGCAGTGCCTCAGACCGGGAGGCCCTAGGGTTCGTGTTCCATCGGTAGCATGATTTTCGGCACTAACTAGATAGGTTGAATTCACCTGCTATCTGGAGGAGAATTGCGGCGGCCGGCTGCTCTGATCGGTAGTTTATCGTGGTTTCTCCGGTCACCTCAGGCGAATGCCGGAGCTGTACTTTAACAAAGGGGCCACGGACCGTGCGCGATCTTTCCCCCCCTTCAAAGTGCAATCCTCACCCCTTATTTAAGCACCCAGGCACATGCAATACTTTAACATATATGCCGGAAGGCCAGTCGGAGTTAAGAGCTTGTCCTGGCTGGGGCAGTGCATCGCTGGTGGGAGATACCTGGTCGGGGAAAATCCTGCAAAATGTAGGGCGGCACAGGATCTCTCGATCCTGCTGGGGACGTTCACTGTCACCTCGCGATTTAAAACATGCACAGCACATACGAAACGAGTGACCTTAGCAGATGACGCGCCCGGAGTCATTAATCAATCAAATAACCGTTGTCTTCATGAGCACATATCGTTGTGCACCGACGGAGAGGTCGACCTCGACGGTAGGGTAGCGACCCATGCACTACACTTACGGGGGCGTTGTCTTTAGCAGATGCCACGTCACTAATCAATCAATCCGTTGTCGTTTAGCAGTGACGGAGTCGTCGGCCTCGTCGGTAGGGCAGCGACCAATGCACTACACTTACGGGAGTGTTGTCTTTAGCAGATGCCACGTCACTAATCAATCAATCCGTTGTCGCTCAGCAGTGACGGAGTCGTCGGCCTCGTCGGCGGGCATCGACACATCCGCTACACTTACGGGAGTGTTGTCTTTAGCAGTTGCAACGTCACTAACCATCCACCCCGCCGTGTGTGCGCAGCGACGGAGTCGCCGCCGCCGTCGGAGGGGAGCGGCGGCGGGGACGGCGCGCTGGCCGCGCTGCTGGTGGGGTGCGGGGACGGGCGGCACCAGCTGCGCTCGCTGGCGCGGCGCTGGCGGCGCGGGCAGCGCGTGCGCGCGGCGCGCCTCACGTGGCACGTGGCCGAACCCACGCTGGAGCTGGCGGCGCGCCACCTGCTGCTGCAGAGCGTCGCCTTCGCCCCGCGCCACGAGCTGGGCCCCCGCGAGCGCGCGCGCCTCTACCTCGAGCTCTACGGCAACACGCTGGTCAGCAGCGCTCACACGCACGCACTTTCACTGGGGACTTTGGCAGCGCACGTCTTCCCGGCAATGCGAGCTCCTTGGCAGCACACGCACGCTCCTGAGCAACGCACCCACGCTCCTACGCACGCAAACACGCACGCATTCACACTCCGTAGCAACGCACGCACGTTCGAAACGCGCACACTTTCATTGCGGACATTGGCAACGCACACCTTCCCGGCAATGCGAGCTCCTTGGCAATACACGCACGCTCCTGAGCAACGCACCCACGCTCCTACGCACGCACGCATTCACACTCCGTAGCAACGCACGCACGTTCCAAACGCGCACACTTTCATTGCGGACATTGGCAACGCACACCTTCCCGGCAATGCGAGCTCCTCAGCAACACACGCACGCTCCTAAGCAACGCACTCACGCTCCTACGCACGCGCGCACGCATTCATATCTGTGGCAAAGCACGCACGTTCCTAACGCGCACACTTTCGTTGCGGACTCGCAACGCACACCTTCCCGGCAATGCAAGCTCCTTGGCAACACACGCACGCTCCTGAGCAACGCACACACGCTCCTACGCACGCGCGCACGCATTCACACTCCGTGGCAAAGCACGCACGTTCCTAAAGCGCACGCTTTCATTGGGGACTTTGGCAACGCACGCCTTCCCGGCAATGCGAGCTCCTTGGCAACACACGCACGCTCTTGAGCAACGCACCCACGCTCCTACGCACGCACGCATTCACACTCCGTAGCAACGCACGCACGTTCCAAACGCGAACATTTCTCTTGGAGATTTCGGCAACGCAAACTAGTTTCTCGGCAATGCGAGCTCCTTGGCAACACACGCACGCTCCTAAGCAACGCACACACGCTCCTTCGCACGCACGCAATCAGACTCCGTTCCAGGGCACGCACGCGCACACTTAGGTTAGATTTATTCAGTCAAAAAAAAACAGTAAAAACTGTGACTCGCGCCGCGCAAACGCCTTGCCTTGACGCTGGCCGTGTCGCCGTTGCAGCTGCGCGCGCGCTCGGCCTCGTTCCTGGCGCGGCGCGGCGCGCAGCTGGCGCGCCTCGTGGCCGACGAGGAGCTGCTGCGCGCGCAGCTGAGCACCACGCTGGAGGACATGCGCCACCGCGAGCGCGACTGCGTGCAGGTGAGGCGCGACACGCAGCAAGTACTGGTATCTATTGCTGGGTGACGATGAGAAAGCCCACCGTAAGGTTCAGAAGACCAGTTCATAGGACCAACGGATGCCGAACCACACGAACCCCTTTTCCCGTGGTCGAGAGGCTGGGCCCCCGCTGGTCGGCCAAGGTCCGTAGAGGACTGTCGAGGCAAAGGACAAGGACAAGTTTGACAGCTCGAGAAACAAATAAATGCCATCTCCGATAATGTCATTGCAAGAGGTTGTGACAGCAGACAATGGCATTTGCAAGAGAGGCTACTGCTATCGAACATAATCTGCAGTTTTGTTGCCAGCAATAGCCAATTAGAAACTGACAAAGCTGTCCCTTCTTAGAATAATTTCTCAATATGGCAGAGTAGGGTCACATCTAGAAAGTATTCGTAAGGAGGGGCAATTTTAAGGGCTCGAGGCAGTGACAAAATAAGCCACAACAAACCTGCTGTTTGTAACTGTTAAAACCTCTATTTTGGTCGAAGTATGTTTCTGCTCCAAGCCCTTTGTAAATTCGAACAAGACATACATAGTAATGAGATGAGCTAAACTTTCACCAAAATTGAGATATTAACATTGACAAATATTGGGAGGCTTGCTATGGTTTGTGTGGCTTCTCGTTTTTCTCCACACGTTCTTCAATTACTGTTCCCCCTACCTTCAGAAAAAATCATACAATGTAAATTGAATGTTTTGGAATGTGAATGTCTTCTTAAAATGCCCGCCGTGCGGGCTGAATACGGGTGTTCTTTTGTAATACAATGTGACTAATATGTGGCATTTATTTGGAATAAATTTAGTAAAATTTAATTGGAAGACACAGGTATCCGCTGGGGGGGGGCGGACGGGAGAGGGTCCCCCTCTCAATAGTTTTAATTTCCATTAGTTTCATTAATTTCATTAGATTAAAGACTCAAAAAAACATATACGATGATACTTATTCATTGGTTAGCGTACAGGAAACGGGCTTTGACGGTTTAGTGATTATCATGCCGGGATACTGATCCCACGTTCACGGGCTCAAACCCGGTCAAAGTCGGGGGATTTTTGAGGTGCCAAAAATCGACGACATTCATGATGACGCTTGTCGGCATGTAAAACAGATCCCAGGAAAGGCACTTGGTCGATCCTAGCCAAATTAAATTCTTTAGCAATTTAGCACCAACCCGAATTTCAATTTGAATTACTGTATAAGACTGCGTATAGTGTATCTTGGTCTGTGCTATCTGGTATTCAAATCAAACATCGGAATTGGCGCACTAGCGCCCCTAAGGAAATAAATGGCAAGCTACCCTAGGTATACTTGCTCAGGATAAGCCTTAATTGGCTTCTGTAGACTAGCCTACGCACTAATCAGTGTTTGACAAAAAAGGAGACATGGTGAACAAAAACGTTTTGCTGCCCTTAATTAATCAAAACAGTGCGGCAAAATAAAATTACTTTTACCACGTGTGTCATACACTTTTTTGCACAGCATATTTCATTTTATGTTTATTCAAGAAAACAATTCACTTACTGGTACATTAAAGTCGATAGTGGCTGATGCTATCGGGCGGAAAGTACTTTGTTTCCTTTGTTGCATTAACAGAATTATCAGAGCAATGTGTCACATTGAGCAGCATTGCCAAAAATTAAACTTTTATTACGCTTCGTAAGCCCTGAAGGAATCGCTTTTACTAGTGGCTGGTGATGGTTTAGGTGCGCCGGGAGACTCAAGCGCACCGGGACAGATGGCTCGGGGCTTCAACAGATGCCAGTGCTGCCTTTCTGACCGGGAGGAGACGCGCTCGATCTTTCCTTCCTCTTCCTTGTCCCCGTTAGCTGATGGTAGATTGGCGCCTGATGTCGCCATTCAGCGGGGGAAGACCACCGCGTACTCGCGAACAAAACATGCACTACACTTAAAGTACTAATACCCTTAGTAGTTGACGAGACCGGAATCAATGGCAATCGTCTCAATCGCTCCTGAACAGAAGCTCAACCCAACCCGCCACCTTCTCAAGTATTAAGTGCGTCATCGCTTCATGTTCTGCCCCTGCGATTGTGAAATATTGGCCGGAATTATTACTTGAACGTTATCTCGGACAAATAAATCAAATTCATTCAAGACAGTGTCATAGCCAATGTTTGCGCAAATTTGAGGGAGAACGTTTTAACAATAGGATGATTGACAATCATGTCCAAACCAGGCTATAGATCAAAACCATACTCGCAAGAAAGTCTTTCATCTATTACATTGTTTGCTGAGCGTAGCTTAAAACGCGAGTTTAACAATCACGTGACCAGAAGTGGGTGAAGTCTCATACACTGCAATAACGAAGCATTACCGGGTTCACTAGTAGTTTATAAATTCTTATTTTAATACCATACACTGATTAGTGTGTATGCTAGTCTCCAGAAGTTCCTAGCGCTTTCTTTTAAGACGTCCTGAGCAAGGATTAGTATGTATGCTAGTCTGCAGAAGCTCCTAGCGCCTTCTTTTAAGACGTTCTGAGCAAGATGCGTTTGCCATTGCTTTCCCTAGGGGCGCTAGTGCACCAATTTTGACGTTTGATTTGAATAGCCAGCGCAGGCCGAGATAAAATATCTGCAATCTTATACACAAATTCCAATCGAAACTCATATTGCTAGAGAATCTAATTTTGCAACGAACGGCCAAGTGCCTTTCTTGGGATGTTTTATATACCGACAAGCGACCGCGTGCATGCCGACCTCAAAAACCCCCCCGACTTTTGTCCGGGTTTGAACCCGCGAACTTGGGATAAGTATCTCGGCGTAACCACTATACCATAAAAGTCGGTTTTATAAATTTAAAAAAAAGTGTGATTATTAAAAATTCTAAAAGAAAAGTTATTGTAAGGAGTGCTTTTGCCAGTAACTGTGGAGGGGCGTTGCCCCGGGGCTGGCCGCGTGCGGCAGGACGTGTGCCTGCTGTGGCGCGCGCCGCCGGCGGGGCTGTCGATGGCCGCGCTGTGGGAGCGGCGGCTGCGGCGCGCGCTGGGCGTGCGCTACGACTCGCGCGAGGGCGTCTTCGACTGGGACTACCACATGCGCCTGCGCGACCTCTGCGGCGACGCCATCACGCTGCGCGAGTACCGCCACTGGCGGGAGACGGGTGAGTTGCGTTCCGCCGCCGCTCACGAACCGGCACAGGTGCGTCAACCGACGTCACTGCAGTGCCTCTGACCCGACGGTGGCAGGACATGGAACACTAGATAGAGAAAGAGGTCGAATTCAGACGCTGTCTGGAGGAGTATTCTAGCGGTCTGCTGCTCTGATCGACGGTTTTCTGTGGTTTCTACGATCAATACCAGGCGAATGCCGGAGCAGTATCGTCACAAACGGGTGCGATCTTTCCTTATTCTTCCTCGTCCTATTCTCACCCCTTACACACACACTTACACTAACATACACTACACTACCACACATGGACTCATCAGGAACTAAGAGTTTGGGCAGTACCCTGCTAGTGGAAGATACCTGGTTGGGGGCAACCCCGCCAAGTCGGTCGGGGTCGGATATCGCTATCCAGAAGGGGATAGATCACCGCCACCTCTCAAGACAAAACCTGCACTACACGTACGGGAAATATGACCTCAGTAGTTGATGCGCCCGAAATCATTAACAACCAATCTACACGCGATTTACTCGTATCCTTTTACGATTTCCATTTCGTTTCTTTCCGTAGTTGGGTGTGGTTCTCCCATTTTTTGTTCTTCTCAGCACACGCGCATGCGTAGAGCAATTCTGCCGTCCCTTCAGGAGGCGCTTGTGGCTTCTGAAATCTCTGAAGCGGCACTGCGCATGTGCGCGTTCGCTAAAACTCCAGACTCGCTCGTAACAGGAAGTGTGTGAATTAGATCTATGGGTTAAACAAGAGCGGGTTTTAGCGCTGCGGATCTATTATGTCTCAGAAAGGGTTTTGGGTGGCAAGCATTGAGTAACAAGCACAGCTCATTCTCAACCTCCTTAATGCCTTCATTCTTTAATACCAACTGCCTTGACGGCAGAAGACGACCTCAAGAACCTGTATAGTGAGCTTCTTCGGCTAGCTGCTACCAGCTCCCAACGAATATAATAATGTCCTATATTATTTCTGTAGCACAAATACCTTTTTCATCGCTAAGACACAACCAATATTATCAGATGACATGTTTAAAGAAAGTGCTTTTGATGGCTTTTAACGCGCATTGTAATTTAACTTTAATTTGGTACAGAGTGGAACCATTCCCAAAATTATCTTCTCAAGTTATTGTCACTCAAAGTTCTGGCACCTTTTAGTGATGCGACGTCGATAACAAAACATCGATGTTAGCAAACATCGATATCCACATTCATCTAAAAACAATCGATGTTTTTTAACATCGATGTTTTTAGACTGGATTAGTGACCTCTAACATTAAATTCGTGTGCATTAAATTTAATTTGACGGTGTTCGTTTTTATTAATTCGCCGAATAAGGGTACAGGAATAAGGGGCAGACCCTATTTCCACAGCGTATTTCTTGACCAATTCTCAATGTGCGAAATTAATATGAAGAAAAATGAAATACAAGGGCATGGAGGTCTTCTCGAGTGAGAGTTCGGTGGATGAAGATAGTGCAAACAGCGTTCCTTTGGTTCCAACGCATCATCTAACAATGTTACCATCAGTTATCATTTTATATTTTAACTTTTACAGTATTGAGATCATGAGATTCAGAAACAAAACATCGGAAATGTAAAAATATATATTACAAAACATCGATATTAAAAAACATCGGTGTTAACACATTGATGTCTAAGACATTGATGGTTTGTACAAAAGCATTGATGTTTTGGAGACATCGCCGTGGATGTGGCATCCCCAGCATCGAAGAGGCGCCGCGCTCGTGCGCAGGGGTGGCGTTCGCGTGGGCGGAGACGACGTGCAGCCGGCCCAACGCGTCGCTGCTGTCGTGGGTGGAGCGCGCGCACGGCTCGCTGCGCCACCAGGGCTACTGCGGCGATCTGGAGAGCGCGCCCTACGCGGCCTTCGGCGTCGAGTGCGAGGACGAGGACTTGCTGCGCTCCGTCAACGGCATGCGCCCGCACACGTAAGCCCACACCCCACCCCGCAACGATTTCTGATGGAGAGTCGGAGGCGAGGACACGCACGTCGTTAGCTACAAGGTTGATAGCTCCTGGTTGCCGGGCTTGCCCGGTGAAGCAGGATCGGGTGAAAGAGGATTGCTCGAAATGCTCTGGAATCCACGTATACAAATCCGGCGAGAACCTCGTACCACCCGTCAAGTTCCCAGGTTCTGGGAGTACTCACGTCGATAGCCTAAAGGTGTAAGCAGTGAAAAGATGGGTAGAGGGCCCCAAGCCGCACGTACCGTGGCTTGGGTGGGCGTAGCAAGGTGGAGGCGATGCTAAGTTCCTGGTTGCCGGGCTTGCCCGGTAATCCATCAGTCGGAGGAAGCTGAAGCGGGTGAAGGAGATTGCTCGGATCGCTCTGGAATCCACAGGGAAGTAGGGCGGGAACCTGATACCACCCGACAGGCTGCCCACGTTCTGGGGGTACTCACGTCAATAGCCCATGCAGTGAGAAGATGGGAAGGGGGCCCCATGCCACACGTACCGTAGGTCGGGTGCTCCCCTGTTGGGCCCTTGGCTTCACTATGGTAGTGCCCCAAAACTCTGGGCGCAGAGGAGGGATTCGTCCAGGCCTCTGAGAGTGGCCCATTGTTTAGACTCCGGCATTAGCCTGGAAAGCTAGGAGCTGTGAGGACGGCCCGAACCAGGCATTGTATGGGGAGGTTAGCGAGAGGGAAAACTGCGTTCCGGCGGGATTCGGACACCAGCCCAAGGGCGTACAAGTACGCATGCGGGATGCTAGCACCCAGGTGCCCATCCCGGAAATAAATCCTCCTGGTAAAGTGCAAGTGCTAGTAGGCGCACTACAATTCATACTATCTCCCCCCACCCCTCCCTCCAAGGGGCGTTCGGACTGTATCCGCACATTATTTCCTCGTATTATTAGAAACTGTTACGTAATATGAAATTGCAACTTCTACCTTACTAACACTTTTGCCAACGCATGAAAAACACCTAACAAACGAAAAGCGAGATATGAAAATAAATTTACTTTTTTGAAAATTCAAAATGTTAAATAAATATGGTATTTTGCCATTTATTTAATGTATTTTTACAAAATGTTTAAAAATATATATTTGCTCGTACTGAGATTTGAACTCGAGCGCTTAAAATTACCAACATTTTTAAAAACGTGTACATGAAATAGTTTGTCAAAATGCATGTTAAACGAACAATACAGAATAAAGTTTGCATCGTGTTAAAAGAGAGGTCCGGCTATGTTCTATGGCGACGATTGTTACTTAGCTTAACATGTACACGTAACCTGAGAGCGCGTTCTTCTTCTTCTTCTTCTTCTTCTTCTTCTTCTTCTTCTTCTTCTTCTTCTTCACCTTCTTCTTCTTCTTCTTCTTCTTCTCCTTCTCCCATTTCTTCTTCGTATTTTAGAGACAGGGGGAGTTCTCGTGACGTAATATGGCTAGCGCAAACGCCTTCGCGGGAACGGGGTTTGGTCCCCGGTCAATCCATGTAGAATTTGTGACAGACTAAACAGGAAAGACTATCTTCATAAAATATTTCTTCTGTGGGCGGACAAAACAAGCTCTCAGCACGTTTTCTACAAGCTTTCCCGTTTCTCTCGACTCTTTCCAACGTTTACTTATCGCAATTTTCCACATCATAATTTACTCATTAGAATATAATTTTTGGTCCTCAATCTTCTCTGTAGTTTCAATGCCCCTAAGCTAAATATTAAAAAAGTTTTAGTACAATTCTATTAAATTCCACTATCTTTTCGGGGGCTTAGAGTTGTCTTCCAGACACTCTTGCAAACTCCAAAAGCCATCATGTAAGTTGGTGCCATATCTCACATTCAAACGGAGTCAGAGAATCTTCTCATCAAATATTATATATCGCTGCTTTGCTTTGATAGTGGGACAACTAAAAAAATCGTTTTTGTGTTTTCTGTAAAAATAGTACTTCCTTAGGGAAGATTTATTCTATAAACCGGCATATTTCTGTTATTCGTAGTTTGCCGCTACTTGGCGCATATACCACTATCAAGTTACCGAGCTTTTACTTTTGTTGCGATTTTAAAAAGTTGTTCCTGTAAAATTGGTAGTTTTTGAGTTGTGGCGGTATCAAAGCAAAGCAGCGATATCTTGTAATATGAAGAGCCCGACTTCGCGCTCCCTTTGCAGAGCGACGGACATCTCGGAGCGCAACCTGATGCGCCTGTTCCACGAGCTGCAGCACTCGACGCCGTTCGTGGCGCCCAAGGCGGAGGACGCCGGCGCCGGCGGCGTCGTCATCACGGAGCTGCCCGACGCTCGCGACGACTGGGGCGCCGGTGCGGGGCTCTTCCAACGCGTTCGCTTAGTGTACTAGCGGGAGAGGGTGCCGCGGTCAACTTGCTACTGTTGGTTACCTTTTCTAGAAACGGTTCACCAGAAAATTTTGATATTTCTCACACTTAAAGATAAAACCTTTCTTATTATTTTGACATTTTTTGAGTTGAATAAGAAATAATTAGTATTATTTTTTCAATTAAAACTTTTGCCCTAATTGTTTCGGCATTTTGGACAAAATTTATTTTTTTTCTATTGAAGAATGTTTTTATAAAAATGTCAATTTATTGCCTATACTATAAAGAGTATATCCTGTAAATTTTAATAAATTACAAAGTACAGTTTCTGAGAAAAAGTACATTAATTACAAAATAAGTATATTTTCGGGAAACGCCATTTGAAAAGAGTCTGGACTTGCCGCTGCTCCAAGAGCACATTCATGCTCCGTATTATGGATCATCTTCTGCGGCAGAAAAATCAATGCTACCAACAGCAACAATCAAGAGCAAGTTTCATAACTCATTGAAATCCAATCAAAATTATTAAAAAAATAGCACATACACCGCACATACTGTGTAAAAACAGGGGCACCAGGTGATTTAAATATGAGTTAATGTGATTTCCAGGCGTTCTAGAAGGAAAATGTTGCTATATTGGGAAAGGGCAAGATTTAAACTATTTATTAATCCAAAAAAGCAAATTCGATCATTTGAATCATTCACGGTACCCTCTCCCCTTAAAAGCTATTTTCCTGTGATGATTTTTTGAAAGAAACATTGCCCTCCGCAGGCGCGGGCGAGGGCGACGGCGAGGACAGCCCCTGGGCCGGGGACGAGGAGAGCGCGGGCGAGGGCGAGGGCGAGGGCGAGGGCGAGGGCGAGCGGGCGCGCCTGGACCGCGTGCCGCCGCTGGAGTGCGTGCCGCCGCCGCGCTCGCTCACGCGCCTGCTGCCGCCAGACGCCATCTTGAAGTACCCCGCCAAGCCCCGCTTCAGAGCCTCCTTCGACATCGTCGTCCTCGGCCAGGTGAGCCCCGCCTGCGAGGAGAGCGTAACGTTGCACGGGGGCGAAAGCAAATGCAGGCGGCAAGCACTTGCGAAATGCCGGTGAAGCGCGTGGAAAATCATTTATGGTGAGACAGATTTTTCCGTATTGTATTCATTATAAAAAAATATAATTATTATTTAGCAAATTTATGGGCTTCTAACGTTTCAGCTATCATGTGCAAACCTCGTTTCTCCGACAAGCGTCACTACATATCAAAGTACCCATTCACAGAATCACATGTGAAGAGAGACGCATCAAAGATATACATTTTCGATGTGATGATGTCAATAGGTAGTACCTTCGTATGTGTAGCTTAAGAAGGTCCGGCCCTTTCCCTTCAGTATTTTTAGCTTTTTGAAATTATCAAAAATCCAGTAAAATGGTTGAATGCATTTTAATGAAAATGTTACAAATATTTCTGTTACACGAATAATACTCATGACAAAATAAAAAATAACAAGTGAATCATATAATAAAGAATAACATAAAATGAGCCCCTTCTCCATTGCACGAAATTACCTTCCTCGTAAGCGTCACGTGTGTTTCGCTGCGAGGGAATGACAGAAGCGCCGCCCCCCTTTTCCCCCATTTCGGCAACGTTCTTCAGGATATGTGGGCGTTGGTAGTTCGGCCCAAGTGATATTTCTCACAGGCAATACAGCTCTCGTCACGTTGGGAGAAATAATTTTCTCTCGATATTTGGAGTGCGGAAATGCTAGCGTATACGTTGCTGTTGACCCTGGATTTTCAATGGAAAGGGTATGCGTTCTTGTAGAATATGCAATATAATAATTAAGCTGTGGATTTTTGTCTATTTTTTTTCTTGAAGGTAAAACACAATAGTTTAGGTTACTGATTGAATTTGAGGCATTAAGTGTATGCATTTCATAGTGCCTGTAAATGAATATTTCACTAATAAATACCTATTTTCTGTTTAAATGCCTAAATGTTGCCGATTCTCGAATTTACTGCCTCCCCTGATGGGTCTCGCGTTTTTCTAGTTGGGGGAGGGCGCTGACAGCGCGAGACGTCTGTTTCTCTCTCTTATAAGTCTTATAATTGAAGGACAATATTGAAACATATAGGGCCCCTTCACACGGTGCCACTCAGCAGCGCTTCCAAGGGGCGCGTGTGCAGGCGAAGTATTGATTTAAATGGAGGTCTTTCTTTCGAGTGGCGGAGACGCGCTGGTATGGCACTCGGTGACAAATTCCCGCCACCAGTAGCACAGGCGCGCGCCTTCGCCACCTCGGGCAGAACACTGTTCTAAATGGCAGGCTTCACCCTGTCGAACCTCTTTACCTGCTGGCTGCCACAGGCGGGCGGCGCAGCCCACAGCGGCGTGACCACGAACTCTCTCGCGGTCAGTGGCGGTCGGCGTACGCTACATGAGAAGCCGCTTCCCGGTGGCGCCACGAGTGACCGAATGGCTCCGTGTGAGGGCAGCCTTATATAAGTTCGGCAACGTTCATGAAATGAATGCGAATCGTTTCTTCGTGTAAAGGCCCTTTCTCCCGTCGTCAAGTACCGCGCTTCCGTACGATGTTGCTCGTAGCAGAGCATTGGTTTAAATGGAGGTCTTCCCAGTGCTGTGCAGCTGGTTCGCGCTGCTGGCGTTAGCGGCGGACACTCGCCACCAGCAGCGCGAGAGGATGTACCCGCCACCGCTAGTAGAACCGCTTTAAATGGTGGTCTTCCTACTGTGCCGCCGGTCGCGGCGTTTTACCTGCTGCGATCCCTTTGTTCGTCGTCACCCGAAGGCCGGCAAAACCTACTGCAGAACCTACCCCCTTCCACGGCGGGCGGCGATGCGGCGGTGGCGTGCAGCGGTGGCGTGCAGCAGTGGCGGCGTGGAAAGTAACATGCCGCTTATCGGCAGTGGCGACGTCGGTAGCGGCCCTCAAAGTGCCTTCACGCGTCGCCAAACCGGCGCGCGTCCGATAAGCGGCATGTCACTTTCCACGCCGCAACCGCTGCACGCCACCGCCGCACCGTCGCCCGCCGTGGAAGAGGATGGGTTCTGCAAGAGTGGGTTTTGCAGACCCTGCGGTGACGGCAGACAAAGGGACCGCGGCAGGTTAAACGCCGCTACCCGCGGCACAGAGGGAAGCCTACCATTTAAAACTGTGTTCTGCTTGCAGTGACGCGTACGTCCTCCTGCGCCTCTCGTGGCGAGGGTCCGGCGCCGAACGCCAACAGCGCGAACCAGCTGCACCGCGCGTGGGAAGACCTCCATTTAAGCCAACGCTCTGCTACGAGCCACATCTTTCGGAAGCGCGCTGCGGTGGCGTCGGGTGAAGGAACCCTTACTCACTGACCACGCCCCCTTATTTAGTTCGCTATACCCGGGTGTCGTGTGCAGAGCCTGAGATGTGACGTGTGCGCTCGTGCGTGCGGTGCAGGGGTTGGCGCACCTGCTGTCGCCGGAGGTGGCGGCGCTGGGCCGCGAGGGCGCGCTGCTGCTGGTGGAGGGCAAGCGCTACGCCCTGGCCACGCGCAAGAAGGACGTGCAGGAGTTCGCGCAGACGCTGGCGCAGAAGGCGAAGGACTCCGGCTGCGCCCCGCTGCGCGCCTTCGACCCGCTCAAGCACGACTGCGCCGCCTTCCGCGTGCACCACGCCGGACTCTGACGGCCAGGCCACCGGGAAGCTTTACTTCTGTTGTGGGCACGGCCGCTTGCCCACGCCGCGACAGAAGCGCGCGATTGTCAATCATCAGGGCTCTTCGCCGACGACGGACAAAGGGACCGCAGCAGGTACCTGCTGCGGTCCCTTTGTCCGTCGTCGCCGGAGGGTCTGCGAAGAGCCCTGATGATTGACGTTCGCGCGCTTCTGTCGCGGCGTGCGCAAGCGCCCTACTATGTGCCTCCTGATTTATGATGTGGAAGGTCCCTGGGATTGGGTGTAATAATGATTAGGCACTACGGAATTTTCACTGCCGAAGTAAAAGCTTCGAAATACGTAGTTGTTACTCAACCCAAACCCAACAACCTCTCATATCCTTTATTTCTTAATCACCATCTTGTTCTTCTTAAACGTAAGATCATTTATAATAATGCAAACTAGTAATGCTACTGAAATTTTATATTTCTTGATCATTGTTCACCTGTAAACTGCACTTACTTTCAAGAAATGTGTAATGTGCTCTAATGCATATTGACTTGTCATGTGTCGTGTTTGTTGATGATTAAACCACTTATAGTGTGGACGTTTCTTTAATGTTATGGTGATTTTATTACATTATAGTATCTTTTTCGTAGGGGGCAGTTCCAGCCTTAGGTCCACAGTACACTCCACCAAGAGATGTGTTGCGAGAAACAAGTGATGAAAAGTGTGGATATCAATTTAGTTTCGAAAGCCAAAAATCAATTCTAGTAACATTATTTCCTGACGATGGAACAGCGATTTCGTATCGTACGTTCTCCCGAAAAAAATGTTCTTTAAGGTCTTGTGAAAAGTTTTCCAAGTAAAATCATCACGCAGTTCGAGGTAAGCCGTGCCCAGAATCAGATGACTCAACAGTGAAGCGACGCCAAGAAGTTTTTCTTCCTCATTGAATGTTAGAAAGTCAACAAGGGAGTAGTTGCTTTGCATTCTGCTCAATGACTCAAGATCATTAAAGAGGTTCTGGTTATTGATTAAACATTGCCTGTCTGCTCTCGCTTCCCATAACCAACATCCAATGGAACGATTGTTCTTTCATCACGTATGTTTACACACTGGCTGAAGTGCATCACGTCATCCACTGATGACTCAGCAGTGTCTTTGAACGGGAGGTATTATGGTTTTAGTCCCGACGCGACGGCCTAAGAGCTTTCGACACTAGCTAGATAGCTATGCCCAATTCAGCCGCTGTCTGAGGGAGGAATTCTAGAGGCCGGCTGCTCCGATCGATAGTTTTCCGTGGTTACTCCGACCAGTATCAGTATCAATGTCGGAGCAGTACCGTAGCAAACGGGTGACGAATCGCACACGATCTTTCCTTCCTCTTCCTTGTCCTATCCTCACCCCTTACATAAACTTCCACTTACACTAACATGCACTACACTACCACACATACCGGGAAACCAGTCGGAAGCTTAGAGCTTCTTCCAAATAGGGTAGTTCTACGCCGGATTTCACCACCCCGGGGGAAGAATATCACATCTCGCGACAAAAACACTCACTAAACTTACGGAACTAATAACCATAGCAGTCGCCCCACCCGGAAATAGGAAACAATCAATCAATCTTATGTTACACGAACTTGTATATAACAGAAGTCAATCAAAATATTACGATATCGAATATAATTTAATACATTTACTACTGCAATAAATTTATATGTATTGCGGATGGCTGCTTAAAATTTTCTCTCTCGCGCTTAGGATCTGGAGCAATTTAAATTGAAGTTATTAAGTGTAGATTGTGTGATTAATATAAATCAACGATAAAGAAAATAAAATTAAAATCATAAACATCTAAGACCTCTTAAAATTTGAATTACGATAGCTTTAATGTTATTTTAAATATCAAAGTGCTTTAAAAAAATTGTGAATACTGTGAATACGTCTGTTAAAACAAGCTGGTGAGAAGATATGTGGACTTAAAATAATATACAAAAATTACGTAGGCGGTACATGTAACTTTGACGACGATGACTTGGTTCGATTTCGAATTATCAAAAGCAATTCTACGTTTGCATTGTAAATTTCACATTGAAAAAAAGTGGCGCAGCGATGAGATAAATTATCTGGAAACTTCTAAAGTACGATTGGTATTAAGAAGACTATTCCTTGAACTAAATGATGCCGAAAACAAGTTTCGGAATGCGTAGGATATGAATTATATTGTGTTTCTTTGAACATGCTCCATGTACACTCCATGTCAACACTTACGATTGATATATCGCACCTGGTGATTGGCCAGCGAGGAGGTGGTAACAAAGGCGATAATGTTTTAACAACAGAGTCTTGATTTGTGCCCGCTAGATACATACATAGTTCAACGCTAATTAATGGTATTTATTTTTAGGAGTGAATTAGTCGACGAAAAACGTGTTTTCTGTTCCAGTGAAATCAGTTACGTCCTCACCAGTGAGGTTCCTTTCTCAAAATGTTTATTTACAAATTGATTTCCGCGCTAACGATTGGTCTGTTTCTAAGATTTGCTTCACGTTTTCAGGAAATATGTTATGGTTCACTATCTATAGCATATATTCAAATGTACACATTTAGATCGTTTAGTTACGCTCTTATCATTAACTATTAACTAATCACTCAGTTATTAACTAATAAAAATCAATAATACAATCACGATACGGACAATAACGAACATACATATAGAAAAAAAGAAAGCCGACGGATTTCATTTAAAACTGTTGTATGGGGTTTTAAGTTGTAGTCAACAGGCTCTCGTATTTATCTGGGCAAATAAAACGCAACATGTAACCCACACGCACCAACACGTACACACCCATTTACTTTTCCAACAAGTTCTTTGAAAAGCTCACGCTCGACAACGTGATAGGTCCGCTCGTTCCACACTAACGTTCTAGAAAAGTGGAGTGTATATCGTCACTACCAGGCGAACAAAACTAGAAATAACGAGTCCCGTCCCCCTTAATTTTCTTTGACCTACGAGTTCATTGTGGCTCGTATCCTAATCCCAGTCGACTACAGGCGGGCGTGAACACCAAGGCAAAGCCCCTGTGCTCAGCGGGAGAGAAGAGGCAGTGGAGGGCCCTCGCAGTCGCGCTTAAAATGAGGTGGACGAAGGCATGTGCAGTGTAAATAGAGTTTATACGAGTATGTGTTTGTGTTTACAAGTGTATGTGTTGCACCGTGTAAATAATGTAAACAGTATTCGGCGTTAGAATAAGTTAGGATGTAAGACAAAGCAGATTTAGATTAGTTCGTAAGAATCTAAATTAAATATGGTAAATTAAAGGAGTTGTCTGGCATCAAAAATCTATTTTGCTAATGATCGTTTCGATCGCGTGGCAATCATTCTCACCTGCAAGCTCTGAGGATGTATCAAGCTGCAAGCTCTGAGGATGATCGCTACGCGTTCGAAACGATCTTTAGCAAAATACATTTTTGATACCAGACTTCTTTAATTTACCATATTTAATTATTAGAAGGTATCTACCTCAGCGATCTAATTAATCGTAAGTTTGTAAGCAAGGTCGTAAGTGATCAATGTATATAGAATTTAAAAATAAATCTAAGTAGGTTTGTGAATCAACTATATTCTAAGAACGCTCCGATACAGGACATGTAGCGATGTGCCGTGGACCAACCAAAAATGTTCATCGCCCAAACAACGCCGAACAATGGATGGGCCGAGGGTGAGGAGGAAACCATACTGACTGCATCCCGCGGTTAGCTTAAACCATTTATCTACCTCCCCAAAAGGCGTACCCCATTGCATACCGCTACGTTTTCTTTCTTAGTATAAGGATTGATTTCTACATTTACCGAGATCTGTTTAGTATTACTTTGATCGATTGTAATTGACCCACTTTACTCTGCTTTCGAGAAATATTTGTCTTGTTCATGATTTTTGACGTCCTTTTGAGGCCCTGCCAACGTTGAAAACCACCGCTGAAAAGTTTTTGGAAACAAAACTTGAAACTTCCTATCACCAACAACTTTTTACTTTGCTGACTTAACATACACAATTCTGAAGATTCTTCCACGTTCAATTGTGATCGAGATTTTCTCGGGACGAGTGGGAGAACATCTATTTGCGCAACTTATCAAACAATTTTACTCCTTTGAAAAAACAGTATGATGGGAACGGCATATGGTCGGTCAATGCCTTCTCAGGAAACTAAAAGTGCAAGAGGGTTTTCAGGGGTAAAGGAAAACTGACCAAGAGCCAGTCAGGCAGACACTGAGCTTGAAGCACGAGACTCAGTGAAACCAGATCTCAAAAATGTGCGTCTATTTGTGGGAGTTCCTTCATTATTGTAGTTCCATGGTGAATTTATTTATTTATTGGATATTATTCAACTGCGTTGTCAATGTAATTGACGAAACAACTGATGAACTAACGATAAGATGTTACGTACCGATAATGATGAGGCGAATGATGAAGCAACGGTGATACGAGAGGTAGGGGAAGGAAAGATCCCCGACAAAACCTGTCATGAACTCGTTTTTTTCAACATAAATTTTTGACCATTGAATAACTTTTTTAAATACGTAAACGAGAAAGTGAAATTGGCCGACCTGGATAGCTGAGGTAGCTTGAGAGTGTCGCGCGTTCAAGTCCCACCGTTGTTCGCCCCTTGTCTTTCATGTATTTGTGTTGATGCGGAAGGCGTGAGTCCGCTGCGCGAAGACTGAGAAACCCTCAGGTGTCAGTGTCTAGTGTAAAGGTTAATATGTGTCCCCATGAGCGACATAGTGGATAACTGGCGCGGATAGTCATAATCGACATCCCCCGAAGCTGGAAAAGCCCCAGGAAGAAAAACAAATACGAGAAAGTTAAATGGCAGGGAGGGATGACGGGGTTCGCGGTCAGTTGAGGAAGAGATCTTGCATTCCACGTGGCGCACGTTGTTCTCGGAGGCCGCCGGCGCCGCCGCCTGCGTGACGCACGGCCACGCGCACACGCCCTCGCGGCACGGCGACGCACGCACGGTCCTCCCACAACACGCGCCAAACGGCGAAATGCTTTACGTTCGGGCCGTGGAACAATATATGCACATCCTATATTCCGAGTATGCGGGTCCGGGGACTTCACC